GATAATTGCATCAAAATGGATTGTTGCAATCAAAATAAAATGTTAAGCGAATTTTGCCACCCCGTCCGCAAATTATCTGAAAGTGTTCTCGCGTTGCACGTACGAAGTTGAAATTTATTATCAAAACGAGAATCAGGATTCAGGTGTAAGATCTAGTCGGATTTTAACGCTTCGCTTGCCAACTTTTTCTATTTTTTGAAGGGTTTTTCCCACCTGGAGGTGTAGCAACAGATAAAAGGAGAGAGTCGGGCTTTTATCCGAAATAGATTTCAGCAAATTATTGAAGCACGTAAAGCGGCGCAATGGTACGAAAACGAATTTAATCGCACTAAAAGCCCCACTGTAAATTCAATGTAAAAATTATTATACACGCACTCTTCTGGAGAGATATCACAAAGGCTTTTAAAGTACGAATTATCACAGGGTAGCTGGGTAATTCCGGGTAACTAAATCGCGCGTTAATTCAAAGCGTAGACACTCTAGCAAGAAGCTGCACGTTCGAAAAGTCGTTTTCAATTGTTAACAATCGTTAATAATACTTCGCGCGCGCGGAAAATGGATTCAAATCTGATTCTGCAATCGACTGAATCGGCAAAACTTTCCCTCGGCTCGGTAATAATTATTCGAACGTAGGACGGAGGGGAGCAACAACAACTTCGAAAGAATGAAAGACAATCAGAATCAGAAGCAGAATTAACCGTAGTCGCCCGACGTTAAATCGGAAAACTTGAACCGATCGAGAACTTTCCGGCCGCTGCTGGAAACTTTGCTGATCCGACGGAGTTTCGAGTAAGTTTCAAGTTGCAAACAGAACGCCCATCGGTCCCCGTCGCGTCGTTGTTTCTAGCCGATCCTGGAATTCCTTCGGCCAGGCAGAAACGAATGCTCGAATTACTAGGCCATACCCGGGGGAATGAACGTTCTCCGTGTTAGGAATTTCGTCATACGCGAGTCATCCTAAGGTAATTCGTGTTTCGCAGGTTTTAATAGTGATGACTTTGATAATTGTTGACAACAATTTTGTTAGCATTCGTGACACGTGTCTAGATTCAACTATATTTACAGCTTGTCCCTCCTACGTAGTCACATTCACACTCTATGACTATATTTACAACACTTCGAACTTGGAATTCAGGGACCAAAGCGCAAATTGGGGAGAATGTACAGGGTGGTTCATTTGACACGTTCGCGACTGGCAGATTTTTCGCTTTTCTAATACCGAGACCACGTTAAAACAGGGACAAAAATTAGAAAATTTGTTTGTAAGGATCTGTTGTTTCCGTGAAAGAAGTCGCAGAATGAGCAGAAGAATAAGATATTTGAATATTTTTGAAGTTATATTCTAGAGTTCTCGAAATAAACCAGAAATAGAATTTGAAAAAACGTGAATTCGGTCGCGAGTGTGTTAAGTGAAGCGACCTAAACATCTTTTGGAATTGTGACGATGTAAATAATATTTTTTGCCTAATCTGAATGGTATCCAAAAGGCTAATAACTGATAGGAATATTTTTGTCAAGGTCATTCTTTTCAAGGACTTTTCAAGTACTTCGAAATACGATATATATATATATATAAAGAACATAACCTTAAAAATTTAAATTACAAATATGAGCGCGACGAAAAGAACCCACGGTCGGTACTGCAGCATTTTTACCGCAAAACGTTACCGAGTGAGGAGTCTTGCCTCGTTCAAAACTAAAAGTTCTGCAAAGTATAATTTTAAAGTATAAAGTAAAAATTCTAACGTATAATTTCTTGATTATTATATCCTTGCAACGTAACAACGCTTCAGCGTTAGTTACACTGCCGGTGTCCCTGACACGCGCGCAATTAACGGCCAAATGGCGGAATTACGCTGGATTTACAGCTACGATAAAGGACAGACGCCAGTTTTGGACAGGTTGTTTGCCTCGCGGAAACAAGACAAACAGGCAAAAGGTTGGTCGTATTCGATTCTTTTTGCTCTTCGAAGCTTGGTACCACGTAACACACGAAGGTAAACGAAAGTATTCGCATACGCCGGATGGAAAACTGTTCGAACGTGAAACGAAATCGTGCCAATGATCCAGAAGTTTTTACTTAGTCTTATGTCGGTCTTTTTTGCTATACTTTTGTCGTGTAGCAAGGCATCTTCTTTACATATCTGAACGTAAGCTACGCGATACAATAAAAGAAAATATATACTTAAATGTGCCTTGAAAAGTTCTTGGAAAAAAATTGAGAGTGAAAAAAATATTCTTGCCCAATTGTTGGCCTTTCGATATCATTCATCTTTGTTGGAAAAATAGTTTCTGCACCATCGCAGTTCGAAAAGAATATTCAGGTGGCCTCGCTTAAATGGATCACCTTGTATATAGAATACGCGTTTCACGAGAGCGTCTATACTTTTAAGCGATGATAAATTCTACGATTATTGACGATGATTAAGTCCAGATTGTTCGTTAAAATTTAATGGATCGTCGAGCTCGAACGAGAGAAACTTTAGATGCGTTTAATACGTCGCGAAAACGGTTCTTGATAACGGCCGTTCTTCGTTCTTTAGTCGTTAATAAATCGTTAAGTAGTAAGGGAAGTTGATAACTCGATTATTTGTCATCACGAGTCGTTGATCGTTCACGTACTCTCAAATAATATACACAGCAGCGCAAATAATGAACGATACGAGTCGAATGAAAGAAATACATTGGGAATGAGAAATTCCATAGGAATGTACTTTCACACAGCACGGGAAAGAAGTGAAAGACGGCAGAAGGAAAATTTCGACGCAACAGATCGAACGGTATCGATCGCCGGTCAAACTCGATGGTGAAACGTAACTCGGCAATCTTGGCAGTTAAGTCAACCAGAAATTAGACGTGCCGGAGTTAGATTGGATCCGAGATGACGGAAATGGAGGCAGCGAATCAAAGGAACAGAATTATGGCAGCGGCGATCAAGGATAAAATTGCTGGGATCGGTTGAACGCTCGAATCTCGAGTAACGTTCCGTTTCGTACCTTCTGTTCGAAAGCAAACCAATCGTCCCAGGAAATTTTAAAAATTCACCCTTCTTTCGACGAGCCACATCGAACACGTCTAACAGAGAAAGAAGAAAAAAAAAAAGATCAGAGAAGTATGAAGCAACTTCTTTCTGCGAGCCTTTGAATGGATATTTAAACCTGCTTCAATTTATGCGATGCAAAATTATACAAATAAATAAAGCGGGAAAGTTAAAAACTTCGTAACACCTTTTACGTTTGCTTTAGTCGTATTTGGTCATTTAACATTTTTCTGGCGGGGATGTTTGAAATTTGTAAAGTTGCCTGTAAAAAGTATGTATTATTTACGATTAGAAGAATTTTATAAATAATTGTACAATTTTATTAATTCACCACTTTAACAATCGAACCTACGACTGATTTCAGACTCTTTCGTGCACTTTTTTTTACAAGTATTTTAAAAGATATGAATATTCTTCTCAATTAAATTCAATATCAATTTCTATTTGAACAGACAACATGATTGTACAAATTTATTTATTTTAATCTTCATCTAAATTATAATTTATTTAATATTTATTATATTAATTAATTTATTTGTACTGACTTATTAATTATTTATATTAATAATATAATTGTATATTGTATTATTAATATATTAATATTTATATTGATAATATAATTGTATATTGTATTATTAATGTATTAATATTTATACTGATGTTATAATTATATATATTGTATTATTAATGTATTAATATTTATACTGATATTATAATTATATATATTGTATTATTACTGTATTAATATTTATACTGATAATATAATTGTATATTGTATTATTAATGTATTAATATTTATACTGATAATATAATTGTATATTGTATTATTAATGTATTAATATTTATACTGATAATATAATTGTATATTGTATTATTAATGTATTAATATTTATACTGATAATATAATTGTATATTGTATTATTAATGTATTAATATTTATACTGATAATATAATTGTATATTGTATTATTAATGTATTAATATTTATACTGATAATATAATTGTATATTGTATTATTAATATATTAATATTTATATTAATAATATATTTAATACGAGGGAAAGATGCCAAGACAATAGCCGAAAAAATTAAGAAGATGCGACACAGAAAAACAGGGACAAATACAGTACAACATGATTCAAAAATAAAAGATATAAACACATAACGACGGTAGTGCTCCCAGAGTACTTGGGCAAAGCGGGAAAAGGAGATAACCAAAAGTTGATGGCAAGGTGCGGAAATATGGAAAAGGAGAATGGGTACTGGGAAGAGAAAGACAAGAGGAAGTGCGACCTGTGCAATGAGGCACCAGGAACAATCAAACACCTGGTGAGAGACGAAGGGAGGGGTAGAGGAAGAGGAAGTGGTTAGCGGCAGGAAAGATGAGAAAGTAGTAAGATGGCTGGAGATAGTAAAGAAAAAGAGGGAACTGGCAAGAGAGAGAAAGTAATAAGAAGATATACACCAAAGAGGAAAGTGCAAAAAGGAAATCAGGAAAAAGTTAAAACCGAAGCAAATAGATAAGCAAATAGAAAATAAGTTCACAGAAGTAAAATGTATGTAAAATTTAAAGATAGTCAAAGCAATATAGTTTTATACAGTTGCAAAACAGTATTGGAACGAAATGACAGAAACGAGTGAGTGAGAAAAGAGGAAAATATGTACACCAAGTTCATATTTCATGGCTCTGAGGCCGAAATAAAGTTTATTACTACCACAACTATTAATAATATATTTTGATATACTATTGTTCCAATGTAATAGATATTTTCATTTGTACGCTTTGTATTAATATTTTTGTTAACCAACGCAAAACCAAGTAAATGCGTGCAGTAAACGCCCGCCGTAAAATTGTTGACGAACTTGTAAATATATTTATATAAATTTTTAATAGGCTGTTTAATAGGTACTACAGCTGAACGGGAACGCCTCGCTATAATTTTCATGGGAATCTGTTACAGACGGTGGTGTGGTGGGTGGTTCGAGGGCTGGCCCGGTGGTGACTCCCCATACATTGGAGCTGACACCACGTGGTAGAGTTTTGCTGCAACTTGCACCGCCGGAAACTGCTCGAGCGTATCTGCCACCGGAGTATCGACCGGGTCGTGTATATTCGGACACCGATTCAGAAAAGGTACTAATTAGACGCTGATTTCACGCCGTGCGGTCTTAATTAGCAGAGCACGACTCCAACTAAGCTAGATTCCCTCCCCGCTTGTGCATTGATCGCCGTACGTGTTTACATATATTAATCATTAGCCGGGTATGTTAATGACTACGTGCGCTTGTACGTTAATTATTAATTAAAACACGATGAAACGCATTGTCGCGATTGAAAATTGAAAATCGAAGAATTGGAAATTGAGAAACACGACTGCGACAAAACGAATCGAACGAATTTATTTAAAAAAAGGAGTAAATAAATCCTCGCGACGAAGAATCGAGGAAAAGGCTGTTCGCGTGCTTTGTCCAGGAGTTGACGGGGAATTGTATTGAATTTCAGTGCATTCAGTGCCTTACTTTCAATGAAAACAAGTGCACCGCCGCCGTCGCACTGCCACGTAATACGCAATTAACGAAATTAGTCGGCCAATTAGCCCCGACGCCTTTCAACAGAGGCGCGCTGTTCGCTTGTGCCCGCGAGGCTCTCGAAATTTCTTAATTAAGCCTCGTTCACGGTCCGGTTTCCTCGTTCAGAATTTCTTTGCTTCGCCGCCGGACGATGGTTTTCTCCTTCGCCGAGACAGGCTGCCAATTGCCGATCGAAATCGAGCAAGCACGATTTCATAATTCGCGCCGGCCGACAATTGATCTCACAGCCGAGGTGTGTAACGCTGTTATGAATTAGTCGTGCATGAATCGCCCCTGAGGGATCAAAATACACGCGGGAAGAAAAGTTTGTCCGTGGCTATCACAGATGAATTCTACACCTTCAGTTTGGTGGAAATATATGCAAAGAACAATATATGCCATGAAATTCCTTGAACCTTGACCTTGAATTTCAAAGTCAAAATTTTCTCTTTTTTATTTTATTACGCGTTGTATTCTACTCATCACGAAAGCAAAACATCTCCTTAACCATTAGGTTTCAGACCAATGTGGCTTAATACTTTTTTATTTGGAATAAAGATAGCCTTTTGAAAATTTTGAAACCTAGGAAAAATTGATACGCTATATTTTGCCTACCTTAAAACCGTACAATTTTATTAAACAATTTTTCATTAAATGTATAATTTCAAAGTTATTTCAAAGTATCCAAGTTATGCCAATCACTCTGTATAAACAGAGCAAAAAGGATCTATAATGTTACAGTATTGCAACATTTCTACATCAATAAGTTCCGGAGTGAAACTCTCCCTTCGAATAAAAGTTCTGTAAAATTGTACGGTATAACTTCTCAATTATACTCTTACAACGTAACAACGTACTTCTCCGTGCGAATTGCACGAATTCGCGTAAACACGGATTCGTAGACGATACCTTAATCACAAACTAAACGAACGAACAGTAGAGGAAATCGTTTATAGGGGAAACTGGCTGCGCGGCTTCCTTTTCTTCTTTTTTTTTTTTTTTTTTTTTTTTTTTTGCGCCCGCATCCGCGGTTTTGCACGCAGCCACGGCGCGTACGCGCGAGACTGTGAAATATTTAGTTTGACACGGTACACGGGGATGCAGGCGGTTCGAGGTTTTTGCCGGATTGATCGAATTAAATCGGGGCAATGCGAAATAGAATCTAGGTAACGTAATCGTTAACCCTCGATTAAAGCCACGCGTGTTGATGATACGAGGTATCGGCTGTTCTCGGGATATTTGAACAACGTTAAAAAGAAAAAAAAGAAGAAACATTTTGCGTCCGGGAGTTTCATCTTCCAATATGAGATTTCTCGATGCCGCAGAGTATGGAAAAAAAAAAGTAAAAATCGTGAAATACTAATATTGCGTATTATCCCGACTATTTATCCTAGATTTTAAATCCCAATTCACCCCTTACAAATGGTGAATAACACGCTTTCTTCGCTTGACTCTTTAACTGGCTTGCGGACCGTAACGAGCGACCGAACCGTTATACAAGAATTCGTCGCTTTCTTTTTCCTTTCGAACACGTCGGTACGACATCATTGAATAGAAATGATTAAGAAGCAATAAACTTGTCATTTGTTTTGCCTGGGTTACACTTAAATATACTTGAAACTGAGAAAATGTCGCAGTTTGGGACAAAAAATTCTCGACATGGCGCATGGCGCGTCATTCCAGCGAAAGAGGTTAACTCCGCTTCATTTTGCCATTTTCAAAGGATTTGTTTGCGATGTCAGAACGAAATAACTGTCGCGAAACAGACGAGGAAGAAAAGGGAGCGAGGGGATGGCGTGAACGTTGGGAAACACGACAAAAAACGCAACAAAACGTCGCGTGAAAGAATTTTACGTCTAGCCCAAGTTTCCAATATGTTTCCGCGCGAGAAGTAACACCCAGCGCCACCCCCTCGCGCCGGAGTAGAGAGCAAACAAGACCAACAAGACACCCCGTATACAGACGCGAGTGTAGAAACGGAGCTCGAAGTTTATTTATTGTTCTCGCCGTTTATTCTCCCTTTAATCTGCGCGAGATAAATACCGGCTAGCTGGAACAACGGACTTCTGTCCAGCGGCAGACAGGAAAGAGAAAAGAGGCGGCGGAACAAGGGCAGAAAAGAGAGAGAGAGAGAGAGAGAGAGAGAGAGAGAGAAGTGGGAAAAGAGAGACGAACAAAGGCGTCTAGAGACGTGACCGTATTTTGTCAGGGCCGACGAAAGGCAGAAGATTTAACGATCGGCTCGCGTTAATTACGCCAACAAATTGCACGTGAAATTGGCTGACCCAACGTGCGTTAATTATGCGCTGCCGTGTGCAGTCGACGGTCTCGACACTCTTCGCGATATCACGTCTCGTCAGTTTTCTTTCTTCTTCTTCTTCTTCTTTTTGTCGCTCGATTTTTCTGGGATTTTGAATTTGAAACTGAGACGATCGGTGGACATTGCGAAATTTTGCGATAGATGGAAAGGTTTATTTTCAACGGCTGACGGAGGGGTTGGTTTCTCTCCATTTCCGCACGTTTTCCAAGGAATTAAATAAACGTGCAAGCCTTCAAAGCGTGTTGCCGTTTTGTTGAATTGCTTGTCTTATCGTTGATAAAATTTTTAGAAGTTATTTATTTGCGGTGTCTGGTATATTTCTTACGAGCGCGTTATTTTGCAAAATATTCACCGTTGTGAAATGGAACCTGGCAGAATTGACTCATACGTATATATATACGAGCCTTTTTTCTTTCTTTTCTTCTTAAAGTGGTACGAGTAGAATTTTGAAAAAAAAGGGAATGAGTTAAGGCTAATTTTAATGTGGTTTTTTTCGAATGTACAACATCTCAAAAATTCCCCAAAAGAAGCTTTTTTTAAACATAAATCCGCGTATCCTGTTGACCGGAAAATACCCCAGAAAATTCTAATTGAAGTCAGTTTAACGTTCGATCGAAAATTTTACGGTGTCTCCTGTCCGATGTATGTACGCACAATAAATCCCGCAGCTGTGGCTTAAAATCGCGCCAGTTTCGAATGATTTTCTGTGACCTTTCAGCTTTAACTCTAATCCTCCATCTGCGATGCAACCGTCGAAGCTGCATACATTGCCGTGAACTGTCTCTCGATCCAAAACAACTTCCCTCGCGCGTGATCTTATCAATAGTTAACGTGGCAACTTCTTCTTCCTCCTCCTCCGGCGAACTTTCCACAAAGCAGCGCTGACGTGACACGCAACGCCGAAAGGAACGTTTCGCAAAATGCATCTCTTTTCACGAACTTTCACGCGAATTCTAAAGCACAATACATACGAAGCTGCATACGAAGAGCGTGGAACGAAAGATAAGTGATATTTTCATGCGAGAGCAATTTCTAGACTAAACACTCTAGAAACACCATTCAATCACACATTATTTTTAATCTACTCGTCGCGCTAATCATAAATTAATTGAACTAAAAACTACCAGCTTGGATCCGATTAATTACATATGTAAACGTGTAAATGTTCAAGCGACAAGTTCGATGACACGCGCGTAAAGTATAGAAATTTCAAATCTCTGCGAATTCCTGCCTCTAAAAAAAAAAAAGAAAAAAACAAAGAGAAAGGAAAAAAATAAATCTCTAACAGTGCGCGCAGCGCGCGATCGATACGTTCAGCCCCGAAAGGGGCTGAATCACCATTCTAAATCCCCTGTTTTCCGCGAAAACTTTTCACACGTGAGAAAGAAACCTTGCCTCGCCTTGAACCTCTCAGAAATCGGAGAAAGAACTTGGGAAGGCGTCTGTTGGCAAGACACATTCGCTAATTCGTTAGTCAAATCGCAGTTAAATAAGTAAGTGTAAGTGTACGATCACTGCAATTAAATGACTGTACCAGTGACTATACAATCGTCGGGCAAATAAATTGTTCAAAAAGAAGGGCAAATTTATTTCATTTCTCGCTATAATGAGTGGTTCATCGAGAAACGATGAAACGCACGATCGACAACCTCTTGCGCTGGCCAACTGATTGCGGGCCATAACGAGTGACCAAAACTGTATACAATAATTTGTCGCTTTCTTTTTGAACACTTACTTTGAGAAGTAATAAATGTATTATTTGTTTTGCCTTTGGCTTATACTTGAATATACTTAAAACTGAGAAAATATTATTTACGAAAAATATATATATATATATATATACAACAAGTTTCTCGTCATTCTAGCGCAAGAGGTCAAGTCCAATAATTTGGTAGCTTGATCGAGTGAAAAGTGATGAAATATCCGAAACTATCAGCTTGCTATCGCGCGCGAAGTGAACTCGCCCTGGTAATTTCATCGTCGAGGACTGAACCACTAAACGAAGAAGGCTTCTCTCGGTAGTTGCATGCCGCGCGTGTGTTTACCGAGCGATAGATAGTCGGCAGCGTGTGAGGTATATCTGGCAGCTATTTCGACGCGATAGGAAAGCGGGAAGAAAATGGAAGAGGAAAAGAAGACAGTGGGACGAGCGAGGCTTGAAGACAATGAACCGTGCAAACGTTTACGCGATGTAGCATTAACGCGATGACGATGCGCGTATCTTGGTTTCGTTCTCCTCAACACCGGTATCGACGCGACGTTTGCGACTCGCGACGTCGATTTTTATGGGAACGGAATACTCCAACCCTGATCATCCGCTATTTAAAATATAAATTTATATATATATATTTGTAATTAATTAATATGATTAAATAAAGTTTTATAACAAAAATATATTTTAGTAATAATTAATATGATTAAATATGATTAAATTAATATGACTGAATATAAAGTTTTATAATAAAAATATATTTCGGTAATAATTAAATATTAATAATTTTATTTATATAGTTTAAAGTAATGAGAATGAATTTTTTAAAAACAAATGAGTAAAATTTATTTTGTACCTTTTCTATCAGGGTTAATTAATTTATTTTAATAATTTTAATTATCTCGAAAGTAAATGATCTAAATATATATATATATTTTTTTTGTGAAATACAAAAAATAAATATACACAAACGTTTGTCGTATCTAGTAATATCTAGTTCTTTTTTTAAATAAAGTTTTATAACGACGAGACGGAACATCGTCTGGGAATTCTGTTTTCTACAGACAGAAATTCCACTCTTGTTTTACGATCGTCTCTTTGTCTCAATTCCACGATCGTTCTCGCGAGAGGAATGGAGCAGACATGATTGTTTTATGACGGGGCTTGCGAGAGCTATTCCACGCACGACCTTTCGAACAGTAAATTTTTGTCGTCTTCGTGTTTGTTGGATACTTATTTCTTTTCTCGGGCGAAATAAAATCTTGCTGTGTTTAGAAACGAAATTTTTTTTTTACAGTTCTGTTAAGAGAATAAAACAGAGATATCGTCTCAATCGCTCTTGATGAATTGAATGGTCGATTAAACGAGATCGAACCATCTCGATTACATAGCCAGCTTAACCATACTACTCCGCAAAAATTTCCGTCTGAAAACTTGCAATTCGAACGCTCTCCGACGTTCTTTTATCTTTCAAATCGAACCGCGATGATTTAACTACTTGCGCTGGCAAGTAACTGATTGCGGACCGTAACGAGTGACCCGCTTTCTTTTTCCTTTCATACTCGTCGGTATGATATCGCTGGATAGAAATTATCGAGAATTAATAAATTTATCATCTGCTTTGCCTGGGTTACACTTAAGTGTACTTAAAACTGAGAAAGTGTTGCAATTTCAGGGGACAAAGAAAATTCTCGTGCAGGAGGTTGAACATTTGAAATCAAACGATAAAAACTTTCCGTCCGGTGGTTTGCGCCTGCTTGAAAACTGTATAATAATTCAGGCATTCCGCTGTTATCTGTGAAACGGCATTACGACGTCAGCTTCACGTGGAATTCCGGTGCTTTTCAGATGTGGATGTACTCGCTGGGGCGGGCATTATTGGACACGACTCCGAGAGTCGCTGCGCTGACAGGAACGGTTTCCGTTTCACCCTCGTCGGCACTTCAGTCGGTTCTAGCTGCCATGACGGAACCCGATCCACGAAGACGAGCTTCCTTGATGAATCTGCTGGACGTAAGTCTGTAAATCTAGTTAAAATTCTTCTTCAGTTTTCCACCCCCTTGCCCGCAATTTCCCCTCGCTGCCTCGAGATCCTTCGCGTAGATCCGCCGGCTGCGTCCTCGTTACTCAACCCTTGATATAAAAACGGATGTAACGTAGCCGGAAGGATAAGAGAAATCTTCTGTCTTTTTTTCGAACGAGCACGATAACTTTCGTTAGATAACTTTGTTTCTTTAATAGTGGTCGCTTTCGTTTTCAACGTCAATCGTTTATCTGCAGGATTGGGTAACAGTGGAAAATTGGAAAATTAAAGTGACGTGTTAATTACCGGGTTTCGTTGTATTCGTATCGTAGAAGAAATTGAACGGAGCTTTTTATTTTCAAGTGATAAATATTAACGTAGTGACGGAACAGAGTATTCGAACAAATATTTAGTTTTATTGACCTTTGTACTTTTTATTTTCAATGTGTATTCAATAAGAGGAACTGCAAATTTTTGAGAGACGTGCTTGCCCATATTGACACTAAAAATTGGAAATAGCTCGACATTTCGTGTTTCATTGTACTTTTTGTATATTATACGATACTCTTGTTTAATTTTTGTTTAATCCTTTGCAAGGTATTTACATTTTTTTTTTTTTTTTTAGTTGCAAAAATTAGAGTATAGAATAATAGCGGTCAATCTTGGAGATTTCGACCCAATTATCGACAAATTATCCTGAATGGAAAAGCAATACATGAAATATTTGTGATACTTTAAATAGCGAAACCCGAAATGTTTCACGCTATATTTCAAAGTCTCAGCCGCGCGAACAAATAAATTTTAATTTTTCAAATAACATTCATTTAACGAGAAACCATGGAATTTTGTAAATGAACTCGCTGTTTCAACTCAATGTCGATAAAACGCCAGTTTCGCTCGACACGACACGAAATACGAGTCGTTTATTTTAAAAGTGGCCCAAGTCCATTTATTTCTGAATCGAGATATTTAACGGTTTCACGTTTTAATAAATTTAAAAATATTGGTAACTGGTAACATGGTAGTATAATGTTTTTGTGCTTCTAAGAGTGTGTAATTTACTAACCCAATTAGTATGATGAACATTGTTTAAGAAATAACACGCTTCAAGTCAACTTAAGCCACTTTCAAAGTTTTAATGAAATAACTTTTTTTATTTTTTAAAACGTGCTTTTAAAACCTTTATTCACTAGTAAAGAAATGTTATAGTCAAATAATTCATTCTTCACCAATTTTCGTATGCGGGAGGGATTTAAAATAATTATGTACAGGTGGTATAAGTCCATTACATCGTTGTATCTTAGTGTTGCGATTAGTCTTACATTTTTGCAGAGTGGTGTCAATTATGTAATAATTTAATATTATTAAAGTTTCTTGGTCTTCCTCGACGCGGTAGTAAATCCAAAGTTTTGAACAGTGCATCGACATTCATTGGTGTTTTATAGAACATTTTATATAGTTCAATTCTCAAAAATCGGATCTAACATATTTTTAATCATTAGTTTTTTAATCTAACATATTTTTAATCATTTACCCTTTCTCCATTAGTATTTTTTAACCTTCTAAAAACCACACCTTCTAGAGATTTAGTTGAAATGAAATTACCTTCCTCTTCCTCTCATTTCATTTAGAATGAAGTTATTTTTTCGACACTTTTTTTATGACTTCGTAATATTTCTGAGGGATATAATATACTTCATATCAGTTTGAGACTTAAGACACTTTCAAAAGAAAAATTTCTATCATTCTATTAACGGCTAATTTTCGGTGTAATCTTAGTGGATTTAAATATATTAGCTACAGTTTAAATAATCTTGGTAATTTCAAATATATTAGTTTATTAAATATATTAATTTAGTAATTGTAAATAATAATTTGTTAGTAATTTATTCATAATTTTATATATATATATATAGTATACTAAATATATTAATTTTAAATATATTAGTTTACTAAACAAATTGCTTTTAAATATATTAGTTTATTAAATACATTAATTTTAAATATATTAGTTTACTAAACATATTAATTTAAAACTCACTAGTTTACTAAATATATTAATTTTAAGTATATTAGTTACAATTTGCTTAAAAATGAAAAGACAACATAGAAATGTAAATGTTAGAACAGCTAGCTTGATTCTTTTGGAAAATGGACTTAGACCACTTCACCTATACTTGTGCAAATTCGCAACGAACAGATACGGTCCATCGTATCGTATCACGTTTACATCGCACGAAACCGTTGACACGACACCTACTGTAGGTGTCATAATTACGGGTTCGCGATTTGTTCGTCGTTTTTACGAAGGTCGGAAATTAATTTCCGTGTCACGGCCAAGAGCAACGAACGAGACGCGGTGAATGGCGAGCTGGCGGTTGAAGAAGCAGCCTGCGTCCGACTTGAATCGGACGCACACGCTCGAACAAGAGGAGAATGGCGCGCAGTGCCATGCCAGGCCAGGCTGGCCAGGCTCGCGGGAATAACAATGGATTTTCGTAGCTATAAAACGCAGCGCTCCGGCCATTATTGAAATTCACCGGCTCGGCGAAACTTCGGAACCGATGTTCTCGTTGTTTCGACGAATCGTGTGAAACGCAGGCGGAAACGACTTCTGCGCCGCTTACGTAATCTTATGCAAACGAGCATAATCCCGGTGGTTTACGCCGGACCGAACTCATCTGGAATGCAACGGCGCGGTTTTGCCGGAACGAGGCTGGGCTTTGATAAATGAACACACCGGTGTAAGAAAATATGCGGCTCTTTAAAGAGCGATGGACGAAGTTCCTTTCTTTAGTTTTTCCCAGTTTCTCGCATTCTTACCGCGTTGTAGTTGTTTGTTTTTAGCCTCGTCTTGGAAACGGAGGAGCTCTTTTCAATCATTATCAACGTCACGAGGTATTAATTAACCATCTGCACACTCTATGGTATGTGGTGTAAATGGGTCTAATTTTTTTTTTTTTTATCGTTTTATTTATTTCCGAAAATTGCAACAAAGTCCCGTGAGTACTTATGGACGTTTAAATTGATTACACATGTATTTAGTTGAATTTCGTTATTTATACTTTATTGTAGCAACATAGAACAATATATTGTAGCTACGTAGAATAATATTAATAACATTGGAAAAATATTTGTCGTTCATGTCGTGGTTTGTTCGCTTTTAATTGAAAATAAATACGTGTATCATCTTCTCTAAACGTTACTCGTCGGTGTCAGATATTTGGGAACCAATTAATTCTAACACTTTATATTTCTTCCACAAAGAGGCACGTTATTGAGATATGTAATTAAAAGAATTTTAAATAGCACTTGCATAATATTATTGGGTTTCTTTGGTATTAATTACAATTTTTTTTCGTCGTTGATTAAATAAATAAATATCGGCGTGTCATAATATCAAAATATTATGACACGATGCCATAATCAAATAAACCATTCGTTTATCGACGCTGCGTGTTTACCGGTCATATATTTTTCTTCGTATTTATCTTGGGGGAATTATTTTTTCCAACGTAGATTATTAATAATTTTCATTTATGACGTTTCGTTCGTAAATTCAGTTCCCCATTAATTCCGATAATTTTATTCAGTATATAATCAATAACAATCAGTGTTTAATGAAAAGTCAGGTACGAACGAAACGATAATTGCAGTTAATGATAAAATGATACAGCACAACATGTCAGATATGTTTGGAAATTGATAGTGAATTAATAGACATTTGCAGATCATGTACGTTCGTGATAATTAAAGCGAACGTCATTAAAATAAAATATGAATGTTCCACGATATTGATATTGCGATGATATTTAAACTGTCAGACATTGAATTTGAACGTAAAATATTATATAAATCAGTAACGAACTGACGAATATCAAATTGAAAGTTAATTTTGTTTCTTGTTTATCGAATATTGATTATTTCTTGCTTTACTGACCAGACAAAATTTAAAGAATCGCAAATAAATAATTATTTATTCTCAGACCTTAATTGGTCAATTTTCGAAAAACTTTAAACAACTTCAACTTTATTCTTCCCTATTTGTTGAAATAAACAGATCGAAGTTCCTAAAAATAATGTGGATTCTCGATTTATTATTAATTTTCTTTTTCTTGATTATTGATTAATAGAATAGAATATGAAAATTATTCTCAAACTATGTACTTTAGTCGGTCAATTTTCGAAAGATACTTAAAAGAACAAAAATGGATTCATTTTTTCCTACGATTTAACGAACGTTTGATGGATATTAAACTGAAAAATTAGATTAATTTTATTTCTTGATTACTGATCATCGAATGTTTCTTGTTTATTCACTGGACGAAATTTAGAAAACCATAAAAAATAACAATTATTTAAAAATCATAAATAACAATTAACTTATAATATAAGTTTAACCGTTATTGCTGGCACTTTAATTTATCGCTATTAATCTTAATCCCTTTATTTAATTTTCATTGAATTTTAATGTATGTTAATATAAAAATTCACATTACAAATATTCGGTCGGTCAATTTCTGAACAACTTCCAATCATCATTCGTCATCATCATTCAAACCACACTCGTTTTAATAAAAAAGACGTGGAGGAATATAGATTCACTTCTCTCGGCGCTAGCCTGAGAGAGGACACTCGGTCAAACGATCGCGCGTCGCAAAGGGTTACAGAATTGCAGATTATGCAATTAGGTCGGTCTGACTGCTATCATCGGCGCGTTGCCGATACAAATTTCATTAATAGAAGGAACGCGAAGACCAGGTCGATCGGAATATGAGCGAAACTCTGTACGATCGTCGAGAGCTGAGACACACACACACAGAGAGAGAGAGAGAGAGAGAGAGAGAGAGAGAGAGAGCACTTGAGCGCTTGCGAAGGCAGACGATTCGAGGGGCGCTTTAATTCAATTATATGTCGCACGAACTGAGAAGTGGAGAAGGCGAATGGGTCGAGTCGATTCTACCCTGGTTAATGCCTGACACCCTAGCCATTCTATCGTCGTGCAGGGAATTTCAGTAATCTGTGACCTTTCTTCCTGCAGGATAGCAGAGCGGAATGAAAATAACGAAATCCAACGATCCGGCTTGGGGATCGATCGAATTATTTAGCACGACGTCGAGCGAAGCTGCGTATTAACTACTTGCGCTGGCAGCTGGTTACGCGGACCATAACGAGCGACCGAACCGTATACAGTAATTCGTCGCTTTCTTTTTCTTTTGAACTCAAGTCGGCGTGATACCGCTGGATAGAAATTAACAAGAAGTAATAAATTTATTATTTGTTATTGCCTGGGTTATATTTAAGTATACTTAAAACTTTGGGATACAAAAAGTATACCAACTTTGGCATACAAAATTCTCGAAAGTGATTCCCTTGGACTTGCAAGAATCGCGCTGGCTCTGGAATTGAAAAGTTTTTGAAACGAAGCTTATAGTGATTATGATAATTTATATCACAATACTATAAATAAATAATAACTCCGTAATTAATTTTAGTTGTTTATATGAAAATATTATCAATATCACAAAATATACAATTACTAATAATTTAATGAAGATTACATAATGGAAGTTAAATGACGAAATAACGAATGAAGAATTTCTACTATGGCTACAATATATATAAGTGTCAGTAAACATTTCTATGGTGATAATAAAATNTCTATTGTTTATATTAAATACACATCTCGATGGAACATAGATGTCGTTGATCTAAATTCTTCGAAGTAGAGGTCGCTACAAGCTCTCTTGCACGATACGAAAGATACCTGAGGATCGCCGCTGACTTTTCCATAGAAGAATATAAAAATCGCTCGCGCGATTTAACCTCGGTTTTTAACATCTCGTTTCGAAACATTTCTCACTGTTCTTGCGATCCTTTTCGACATAAATTTCTTAAAAAAGAAAAAAAAAAAGGAAAAATAGTCGCGTCACCTAGACGATTTCGTTCATTGTTATGAGGGGTAAAAATAAATCGTCTTGCATGGAAACAATGGGAAAAAAACTCTGGATGATTAACGCAGCCGTTTCTCCGGGTGCTGACCACTTTTAATGAAGCCATTCGTTCGGCTGACCATAATTCATCGGTTGCACCTGAATGGACTGTGAAATTGATGAAATCCCGCGGCGTACGGGATCGCCGAACTTACCAATTTCAACGAGGATTCCTCGACTTGCAATGAATCACCCCTCTCGACTCGATCGACCTAGCTTTTCAAATCGTCGACGAAGAGATCACAGATATTTGCAAGAATGTGGATGAAAAATTGCCGGGGCGATCTGATTTGAAATATTACGCCATCGTGATGGATCAATCTGGAATTGAAAATCGTTTGTAATATTGTTTATAGACAATTTGAAAGTATATCATTGGAATTGACACTGTAGAAGAAACTTTTGAGTTTTCTTTTTCGGCTCCTCTTGTTATAATTTCATTATTCTCACAATCGTTCTAATTTCAATTTTACCAAAATTCCCTCAATTTACCTGACAATTCCCTTCAAAATAAGAAATCGTCAAATCGAAATAAAAATATTGCATCTCTTCAGCTATATAATTTCAATTGGGAACGCGCGTGTCCACGTTTTTTTAAATTATTCATATCCCCGATGAAACTAATTTCAGATAGCAATGAAGCTAATTTCAGACTCATTGAGCTATGTTGCAACGCATATAATCATGTACAATGTAATTACATTTCTTTCTGGTTGATTAACAGACGAGAAAAATATTTTTAATTAACGCAAAATGGCGATCCCTCGCGAGAGAATTTTTTTGCTCGCATCAGTTTGAAACGACACAACAGCAAGATCGCTTTTGATCAGCCAAGGACAGGGACTAAACGCATGAAAAAATGAAAAAGAAAGAAATATACAAAGGAACCCTTTCCGACATCGTCTTCCTACTTGCGAGCACCGTCTTTCATAGACAACCACGTATCCAGAATTGGCTTTTGTCGTCGCAGAATAGGAGTACAATGAAGAGATAATAGGCTTGTGAACCGCCTATTCGTTGCTATCATAGCTCACCGAGTCTACGGAATTTATTGCGGAGCCATTGTTCCCTAAAACTAGTGAATTGTGCTGGCTGACTGGCGGCAATTTCAAAATCGGATGATCAGGATACTCTCACGACACGATAAACACACACACACACACACACACACACGCGCGCGCGCGCGCGCGCGTGTACTAATTTCATTAGAAGAGCGTGAGAGACAGGGAGACGTAACAGTATCGTTTCGGGACTTAACTTGGAAAGCTATTAGAGCATCTGACCCGATAGTTTCGTTCCACTTGTGAATTTCTAACTAGTTCCATTTACCTGAGTTCCATCTTACGATAGCGAATGATAATGGCCAGTCTTGATCAATAAGCCTCTCGTGTGTATTCGCGGACGAGCTGAGATTCGCTCCATAATTCGTGTATTCACGGTGAAACTGAATGCTGAAACTAAAAGAAAGCCTAAAGCGTTGTTTAGTTGTTTGTCGTAATTAAATCGTATTTTTGTAGAGAATGATCTCAAGTCATTTTATACAAAATACAAATATGTTCATCTCATTTCTCAAAACTGAGAAATAATCTCTGTTAATTTATTATTAGGTTTTACACTCCAAACTAACACTTTTTGCAGATCATATTCACCTCCTTGCTGATCAAGTTTTCCTACAAATTTGTTTTCTTACTCTCGTCGTTATAAAAATAAAATCCTACGTAGAATTACTATTATTCTGAAATAAAAATTTTATTGCTTAACGAATGTAATGATACTTGAAAATTAACCTGCAAGTTGTAAACGTAAAATTTTATTTATAATACAAAGTTAATATAAAATTTTTAACACTATACAGATTCATCTATAATGATTCTTCCGCTGCTGCGTAGTTTTATATATATGTAATAATATTTCTGTACAATTATAATCATGACAATGTGCAGGAGTGATCGTTGCAACAGAATGATTAACATTCGCAGAATTTAATTTTTGAAATACTTCGTCAACAGGATTCGTTAATTCATTTCTTGAAGTGGTAAATTTGCAAGCAACATGCAAAAGGGTGAATATGACCTAGGAAAGAGTTAAATTTGATGAGCAAAATCTACAAACTACGACTGAAAATAACGTGATCGTATTAATACCGATTGTACGTGTCCGTTTTCACTTCTGTTTCAGGTGATCTCTGAGTACTGCCGCACTCGTTTACAATCAAAACCCTTCACGCACATCGTAATGGACATGTATCGCGAGGTGGTGAAGTCGCCTCAGTACACAGCTCGCAAACGCATCGCGTATCAGCACCTGAACCCCCCCGCCCCTCCCCACCGTAGCCCGTCGGACCTGACAGAGCAGAATCGTCGCCAGACAAACTACCCCCATCATCATCACCACCACCACCACCATCATCAACAACAACAACCGTCTCAACAATCCGATCCACTCCAATCCATGCACAGTCAAGCCAAAAATCTTCACCAAGACCGCCAGTATCATTCCGCCAATCAGTACAATATTCCTCGTCCAAGTAGGCAACGTTCTCCGGCGCGATATCAGCTTCAGGAAGCGTCCCAACAGAGTCAGACCGGGCCAAAGGTCCATCACCACAATCACTATCACCATCATCGTCCGGCGAAAGGTGCCCTTTTCAAGCTTCAGTCGCGAAACTCGCACTCGCATCCGAACTTGACGACCATTTGCGGCCAGCAGTCGCAACCGAGCCGACGGTGCCAGGAAACGGAGGATCGGAGGACGCAGTTTCACTCTCAGCTGAACGTTCAACAAACGGCAACGACCGGTCGTAGCTTAGGCCCGGCGATCCAGCATCAACGGCGTCACCACCACTCGCGAACGTACTCACAACCGATTTACACGAGGCTGCAGCACACCAGAAGCAGCGGCAATCTGCCGTCGACCATCGTCGGCGAGGGCAACCCTGGCGGGAACGTTTACAACGACCCAATCTACGCGTTGCCCGTGAAGCCTTTCCTCAGCTCGCAGGACGTCAGAGTGAACGGGCTGTCCGTGAAGCCACCTGTCGGCCATCGCAACGAGGACGTGTACACGACCGCGACGATAACCAGGTAGTGTTTCTTTTTTCTCTCCCTTTTTCTCATCGGCTGTTTGTTTTTTCTTTTTATACATATATATATATATATATATATATATATATATATATATATATATATATATATATGTTATATTTCTTTATATTTTATTGATTGGAAACTTAATTGAAAATTAAGCAAAATTAAAAGAACAAAGTTCATACTACAATAACCTAGTAAACTGATAAACCTAAATGCAAAAATTACACGCGATGCAAAAATTTTCTGCCCGAAGAAAAATTCTGCAAAGTATTTGCAAGTTTAGGGTTAAAATAAAGAAAGATACAATGC